CCACCACCACCATCATCCTCACCACCACCACCATCCTCACCACCACACTCACCACCACACTCACCACCACCACCATCATCCTCACCACCACCACCATCCTCACCACCACACTCACCACCACCACCATCATCCTCACCACCACCACCATCACCACCACCACCACACTCACCACCACCACCACCACACTCACCACCACCACCATCATCCTCACCACCACCACCATCCTCGCCACCACCACACTCACCACCACCACACTCACCACCACCACCACCATCCTCACCACCACCACACTCACCACCATCATCATCCTCACCACCACCACCATCCTCACCACCATCCTCACCACCATCATCCTCACCACCACCACACTCACTACCACCACCATCATCATCCTCACCACCACCATCATCCTCACCACCACCACCACCATCATCATCCTCACCACCACACTCACCACCACCACCACACTCACCACCACCATCATCCTCACCACCACCACCACCATCATCATCCTCACCACCACACTCACCACCACCACCACCACCACACTCACCACCACCATCATCCTCACCACCACCACCACACTCACCACCACCATCATCCTCACCACCACCATCATCCTCACCACCACCACCACACTCACCACCACCACCACCACACTCACCACCACCATCATCCTCACCACCACCACCACACTCACCACCACCATCATCCTCACCACCACCACACTCACCACCACCACCACACTCACCACCACCACCACACTCACCACCACCACCACAGTCGCCGCTCTCCCCCGAGCAGCGTGCCAGGGTGGAGGCTTCTCACCGTGCGGCCAAGCGGCGGCTCCTCAGGAGCAGCGTCCAGGGGGTCCGGTGGGCCCAGGGGGACCCCCCCAAGGTGGGGGTCCTGGAGGGGCCTCGAGGAGAGTGGAGCGTGGGGCCCGGATGGGACGCGGTGCTGTCGGACGAGATGAAACGCGGATACTTCAACAAGGTGCTGGCCGTGGTGGTGGTGGTGGTGGGCGTGAGAGAGACACAGGGAGACACGGAGATACAGGGAGACACAGGGAGACACAGAGACCCACAGAGACCCACAGGGAGACAGAGACACACAGAGACACACAGAGACACACAGAGACACAGACACACAGAGATGAAACGCGGATACTTCCACAAGGTGCTGGCCGTGGTGGTGGTGGGCGTGAGAGAGACACACAGGGAGACACAGGGAGACACGGAGACACAGGGAGACACACAGGGAGACACAGGTAGACACAGAGACACACAGAGACACAGAGATGAAACGCGGATACTTCCACAAGGTGCTGGCCGTGGTGGTGGTGGTGGTGGGCGTGAGAGAGACACACAGGGAGACACAGGGAGACACAGGGAGACACAGAGACACAGGGAGACACACAGAGACACAGAGATGAAACGCGGATACTTCCACAAGGTGCTGGCCGTGGTGGTGGTGGGCGTGAGAGAGACACACAGGGATACCCAGAGAGACACAGAGAGACACAGAGAGACAGAGACACACAGAGACACACAGAGAGACACAGAGATGAAACGCGGATACTTCCACAAGGTGCTGGCCGTGGTGGTGGTGGTGGTGGTGGGCGTGAGAGAGACACACAGAGAGACACAGGGAGACACAGGGAGACACAGAGACACAGAGACACACAGAGACACACAGAGACACACAGAGACACACAGAGATGAAACGCGGATACTTCCACAAGGTGCTGGCCCTAGTGGTGGTGGTGGGCGTGAGAGAGACACACAGGGAGACACAGGGAGACACAGAGACACAGAGACACACAGAGACACACAGAGATGAAACGCGGATACTTCCACAAGGTGCTGGCCGTAGTGGTGGTGGTGGGCGTGAGAGAGACACACAGGGAGACACAGAGACCCACAGAGACACAGATGAAACGCGGATACTTCCACAAGGTGCTGGCCGTGGTGGTGGTGGTGGTGGGCGTGAGAGAGACACAGGGAGACACAGACACAGGGAGACACAGAGACCCACAGAGACCCACAGGGAGACACAGAGACACACAGAGAGACACAGAGACACACAGAGACACACAGAGACACACAGAGACACAGATGAAACGTGGATACTTCCACAAGGTGCTGGCCGTGGTGGTGGTGGTGGGCGTGAGAGAGACACACAGGGAGACACAGGGAGACACGGAGACACAGGGAGACACACAGGGAGACACAGAGACACACAGAAACACACAGAGATGAAACGCGGATACTTCCACAAGGTGCTGGCCGTAGTGGTGGTGGTGATGGTGGGCGTGAGAGAGACACACAGAGAGACACAGAGACACACAGAGACACACAGAGATGAAACGCGGATACTTCCACAAGGTGCTGGCCGTGGTGGTGGTGGTGGTGGGCGTGAGAGAGACACACAGGGAGACACAGAGACACACAGGGAGACACAGAGAGACAGAGAGACACAGAGAGACACAGAGACACACAGAGACACAGAGATGAAACGCGGATACTTCCACAAGGTGCTGGCCGTGGTGGTGTGGTGGGCGTGAGAGAGACACACAGGGAGACACGGAGATACAGGGAGATACAGAGACACAGAGATGAAACGCGGATACTTCCACAAGGTGCTGGCCGTGGTGGTGTGGTGGGCGTGAGAGAGACACACAGGGAGACACAGAGACACAGGGAGACACAGAGACACACAGGGAGACACGGAGACACAGGGAGACACAAAGAGACACAGATGAAACGTGGATACTTCCACAAGGTGCTGGCCGTGGTGGTGGTGGTGGGCGTGAGAGAGACACACAGGGATACCCAGAGAGACACAGGGAGACACAGGGAGACACACAGGGAGACACAGGGAGACAGAGACACACAGAGACACAGATGAAACGCGGATACTTCCACAAGGTGCTGGCCGTAGTGGTGTGGTGGGCGTGAGAGAGACACACAGGGATACCCAGAGAGACACAGGGAGACACAGGGAGACACACAGGGAGACACAGGGAGACAGAGACACACAGAGACACAGATGAAACGCGGATACTTCCACAAGGTGCTGGCCGTAGTGGTGTGGTGGGCGTGAGAGAGACACACAGGGAGACACAGACACAGGGAGACAGAGACACACAGAGACCCACACAGAGAGACACAGAGAGACACAGGGAGACACAGGGAGACACAGAGACACAGGGAGACACAGAGACACACAGAGATGAAACGCGGATACTTCCACAAGGTGCTGGCCGTGGTGGTGGTGGTGGTGGGCGTGAGAGAGACACACAGGGAGACACAGACACAGGGAGACAGAGACACACAGAGACCCACACAGAGAGACACAGGGAGACAGGGAGACACAGACAGACACAGGGAGACACAGACAGACACAGGGAGACACAGGGAGACACAGAGACACACAGGGAGACACAGACACACAGGGAGACAGAGAGACAGAGACATAGGGAGACACAGGGAGACACAGAGACACACAGGGAGACAGAGAGACACAGGAAGACCCACAGGGAGACAGAGACACAGGGAGACACACAGGGAGACACAGGGAGACACAGAGACACACAGAGACACAGGGAGACACAGGGAGACACAGACACACAGGGAGATAGAGAGACACACAGAGAGACCCACAGGGAGACCCACAGGGAGACCCACAGGGAGACACAGGGAGACAGAGACACAGAGACACACAGAGATGAAACGCGGATACTTCCACAAGGTGCTGGCCGTGGTAGTGGTGGTGGTGTGGTGGACGTGAGAGAGACCCACAGGGAGACACAGAGACACACACAGACACACAGAGACCCACAGAGACCCACAGAGACCCACAGAGACCCACAGAGACACACAGAGACACACAGAGACTCACAGAGACTCACAGAGACCCACAGAGACACACAGGGACCCACAGAGACACACAGGGAGACACAGGGAGACATAGGGAGACACAGAGACCCACAGGGACCCACAGAGACCCACAGGGACCCACAGGGACCCACAGGGACCCACAGAGACCCACAGAGACCCACAGAGACTCACAGAGACCCACAGAGACCCACAGAGACACACAGTGTCTCACAGAGACCCACAGAGACCCACAGGGACCCACAGGGACCCACAGGGACCCACAGAGACCCACAGAGACCCACAGAGACCCACAGGGACCCACAGAGACCCACAGAGACCCACAGAGACCCACAGAGACCCACAGAGACTCACAGAGACCCACAGGGACCCACAGAGACCCACAGAGACCCACAGAGACCCACAGAGACCCACAGAGACTCACAGAGACCCACAGGGAGACACAGAGACACACAGAGACACACAGAGACACACAGAGACACACAGAGACCCACAGAGACACACAGGGAGACATAGGGAGACACAGAGACCCACAGGGACCCACAGAGACCCACAGAGACCCACAGGGACCCACAGAGACCCACAGAGACCCACAGAGACACACAGTGTCTCACAGAGACCCACAGAGACCCACAGGGACCCACAGGGACCCACAGAGACCCACAGAGACCCACAAAGACCCACAGAGACTCATAGAGACCCACAGAGACCCACAGAGACCCACAGAGATCCACAGAGACCCAGAGAGACCCACAGAGATCCACAGAGACCCAGAGAGACACACAGAGACACACACGGACCCACAGGGAGACACAGAGAGACACAGAGACCCACAGAGACCCACAGGGAGACACAGAGACCCACAGGGAGACAAACACGGGAGACCCACAGGGAGACAAGGAGACCCACAGAGACACACACACACAGAGACACACAGAGACACACAGAGACACAGATGAAACGTGGATACTTCCACAAGGTGCTGGCCGTGGTGGTGGTGGTGGGCGTGAGAGAGACACACAGGGAGACACAGAGAGACAGAGAGACACAGAGAGACACAGAGACACACAGAGACACACAGAGACACACAGAGACACAGAGATGAAACGCGGATACTTCCACAAGGTGCTGGCCGTAGTGGTGGTGGTGGTGGGCGTGAGAGAGACACACAGGGAGACACGGAGATACAGGGAGATACAGAGAGAGACAGAGACACAGAGATGAAACGCGGATACTTCCACAAGGTGCTGGCCGTGGTGGTGTGGTGGGCGTGAGAGAGACACACAGGGAGACACAGAGACACAGGGAGACACAGAGACACACAGGGAGACACGGAGACACAGGGAGACACAGGGAGACACAGGGAGACACAGGGAGACACAAAGAGACACAGATGAAACGTGGATACTTCCACAAGGTGCTGGCCGTGGTGGTGGTGGGCGTGAGAGAGACACACAGGGAGACACAGGGACACACAGGGAGACACAGGGAGACACAGGGAGACACAGAGAGACACAGGGAGACACAGAGACCCACATAGACCCACAGGGAGACACAGGGAGACAGACACAGAGAGACACAGAGACACACAGAGACACGGGGAGACAGAGAGACACACAGAGATGAAACGCGGATACTTCCACAAGGTGCTGGCCGTGGTGGTGGTGGTGGGCGTGAGAGAGACACACAGGGATACCCAGAGAGACACAGGGAGACACAGGGAGACACACAGGGAGACACAGGGAGACAGAGACACACAGAGACACAGATGAAACGCGGATACTTCCACAAGGTGCTGGCCGTAGTGGTGTGGTGGGCGTGAGAGAGACACACAGAGAGACACAGAGAGACACAGGGAGACACAGGGAGACACAGAGACACAGGGAGACACAGAGACACACAGAGATGAAACGCGGATACTTCCACAAGGTGCTGGCCGTGGTAGTGGTGGTGGTGGGCGTGAGAGAGACACACAGGGAGTAACAGACACAGGGAGACAGAGACACACAGAGACCCACACAGAGAGACACAGGGAGACACAGGGAGACACAGACAGACACAGGGAGACACAGACAGACACAGGGAGACACAGGGAGACACAGAGACACACAGGGAGACACAGACACACAGGGAGACAGAGAGACAGAGACATAGGGAGACACAGGGAGACACAGAGACACACAGGGAGACAGAGAGACACAGGAAGACCCACAGGGAGACAGAGACACAGGGAGACACACAGGGAGACACAGGGAGACACAGAGACACACAGAGACACAGGGAGACACAGGGAGACACAGACACACAGGGAGATAGAGAGACACACAGAGAGACCCACAGGGAGACCCACAGGGAGACCCACAGGGAGACACAGGGAGACAGAGACACAGAGACACACAGAGACACACAGAGATTAAACGCGGATACTTCCACAAGGTGCTGGCCGTGGTGGTGGTGGTGGTGGGCGTGAGAGAGACACACAGGGAGACACAGGGAGACACGGAGACACAGAGACCCACAGAGACCCACAGAGATGAAACGCGGATACTTACACAAGGTGCTGGCCGTGGTGGTGGCGGTGGTGTGGTGGGCGTGAGAGAGACCCACAGGGAGACACAGAGAGACACACAGGGAGACAGAGACACACAGGGAGACCCACACAGAGAGACACAGGGAGACACACAGAGACACACAGAGACCCACAGAGACACACAGAGACACACACAGACACACAGAGACCCACAGAGACCCACAGAGACCCACAGAGACACACAGAGACACACAGAGACACAGAGACCCACAGAGACACACAGGGAGACACAGGGAGACATAGGGAGACACAGAGACCCACAGGGACCCACAGAGACCCACAGAGACCCACAGGGACCCACAGAGACCCACAGGGACCCACAGAGACCCACAGAGACCCACAGAGACTCACAGAGACCCACAGAGACACACAGTGTCTCACAGAGACCCACAGAGACCCACAGGGACCCACAGGGACCCACAGAGACCCACAGAGACCCACAGAGACCCACACAGACACACAGAGACGCACAGAGACACACAGAGACACACACAGACACACAGAGACCCACAGAGACCCACAGAGACACACAGGGAGACACCGGGAGACACAGAGACCCACAGAGACCCACAGAGACCCACAGAGACCCACAGAGACACACAGAGACCCACAGAGACCCACAGAGACTCACAGAGACACACAGAGACACACAGAGACACACAGAGACACACAGAGACCCACAGAGACCCACAGAGACTCACAGAGACACACAGAGACACACAGAGACACATAGAGACCCACAGAGACCCACAGAGACCCCCACGGAGACCCCCACGGAGACCCCCACGGAGACCCACAGGGAGACCCACAGAGACCCATAGAGACTCACAGATACACACAGAAACCCACAGAGACCCACAGAGACCCACAGAGACCCACAGAGACCCACAGGGACCCACAGAGACCCACAGAGACCCACAGAGACACACACGGACCCACAGGGAGACACAGAGAGACACAGAGACCCACAGAGACCCACAGGGAGACACAGAGACCCACAGGGAGACAAACACGGGAGACCCACAGGGAGACAAGGAGACCCACAGAGACACACAGACACACAGAGACACACAGAGACACAGGGAGACACAGAGACCCACAGGGATACACACAGAGACGCACAGAGACACAGGGAGACACAGAGACCCACAGGGAGACCCACACGGAGACCCACACAGAGACACACAGGGACCGACAGAGACACACAGAGACACACAGAGACCCACAGGGAGACACAGAGACCCACAGAGACCCACAGAGACCCACAGAGACCCACAGAGACCCACAGAGACACAGAGACACACAGAGACACACAGAGACCCACAGGGAGACCCACAGGGACTCACAGAGACACACAGAGACACACAGAGACCCACAGGGAGATACAGAGACCCACAGGGAGACCCACAGGGAGACCAACACGGAGACCCACAGGGAGACCCACAGGGAGACCCACAGGGAGACCCACAGAGACACACAGAGACACACAGACCCACAGGGAGACACAGAGACCCACAGGGAGACCCACAGGGAGACCCACACGGAGACCCAGGGAGACACAGAGACACACAGAGACCCACAGGGAGACACAGAGACCCACAGGAACACACAGAGACACACAGACACACAGAGACACACAGATTATCACGGTTGACTAAGTACGGTGTGAAAGAAGTTCAACATACACACACAACAGCGGCACTTGCCCCTAGATTACTGCGTGGGCTACACGGGGGACCTTTGTCTGTGTGGGCAGCTGAAGGAGTTTGTGGCGGAGGAGAGGAGGAGACACGTGGTGTACCCAGAGCCTGCCAACGTGTTCACCTGGACACATCTCTGTAGGCCTTCACAGGTGGGTGGGTGAGGCGAGGGTGGGTGGGTGAGTGGGTGGGTGGGAGGGTGAGTGAGTGGGAGGGTGAGTGGGAGGGTGGGAGGGTGAGTGAGTGGGTGGGTGGGAGGGTGGGTGGGAGGGTGAGTGGGTAGGTGAGTGGGTGGGTGAGTGGGAGGGTGGGTGGGAGGGTGAGTGGGATGGTGGGTGGGAGGGTGAGTGAGTGGGTGAGTGAGTGGGTGAATGGGAGGGTGAATGGGAGGGTGAGTGGGAGGGTGAGTGGGAGGTGGAGTGGGAGGGTGAGTGGGAGGGTGAGTGAGTGGGTGGGTGAGTGGGAGGGTGGGTGGGAGGGTGAGTGGGATGGTGAGTGGGAGGGTGGGAGGGTGAGTGAGTGGGTGAGTGAGTGGGTGAATGGGAGGGTGAATGGGAGGGTGAGTGGGAGGGTGAGTGGGAGGGTGAGTGGGAGGTGGAGTGGGAGGGTGGGTGGGTGGGAGGGTGAGTGGGTGGGAGGGTGAGTGGGTGGGAGGGTGAGTGGGTGGGAGGGTGAGTGGGTGGGAGGGTGAGTTGAGTGGGAGGGTGAGTGAGTGGGTGAGTGAGTGGGTGGGAGGGTGAGTGGGAGGGTGAGTGGGTGGGAGGGTGAGTGGGTGGGAGGGTGAGTGGGTGGGTGAGTGAGTTGGTGAGTGAGTGGGTGAGTGAGTGGGTGAGTGGGAGGGTGAGTGGGAGGGTGAGTGAGTGGGTCAGTGGGTGAGTGGGAGGGTGAGTGAGTGGGAGGGTGAGTGGGAGGGTGAGTGGGAGGGTGAGTGGGAGGGTGAGTGGGAGGGTGAGTGGGTGGGAGGGTGAGTGGGAGGGTGAGTGGGTGGGAGGGTGAGTGGGAGGGTGAGTGGGAGGGTGAGTGGGAGGGTGAGTGGGAGGGTGAGTGGGAGGGTGAGTGGGTGGGAGGGTGAGTGGGAGGGTGAGTGGGTGGGAGGGTGAGTGGGAGGGTGAGTGGGAGGGTGAGTGGGTGGGAGGGTGAGTGGGAGGGTGAGTGGGAGGGTGAGCGTGCCGCCCGCCCCTCACCCCCGCCCCTCACCCCTGACCCGTGGCCCCTCACCCCTGACCCGTGGCCCCTGACCCGTGGCCCCTGACCCCTGCTCTCCAGGTGAGGGTGGTGATCCTGGGCCAGGACCCGTACCACGGCCCGGGCCAGGCCCACGGCCTCAGCTTCAGCGTCCCCCGGGGGGTGCCGCCCCCCCCGAGTCTCCTCAACGTCTTCCGCGAGGTGGCCCGGGGGGGCGGCGGGGGGGGCGAGGCCACGCCCCCTTCACGGCCCCCCCACGGAGACCTCACGGCCTGGGCACAGCAGGGTGAGTGGCAGGGCAGCAGCAGCAGTGGAGAGAGCACGCAGTGAGTGTGTGTGTGTGTGTATGTGAGTGTGTGTGTGTGTGAGTGTGTATGAGTGTGTGAGTGTATGTGTGTGTATGTGTGTGTGAGTGTATGTGTGTGTGAGTGTGTGTGTGTGAGTGTGTGTATGTGTGAGTGTATGTGTGTGTGTATGTGTGTGTGTGAGTGTGTGAGTGTGTGTATGTGTGTGTGTCTGTGTGTTTGTGTCTATGTGTGTGTGTGTATGTGTGTGTGTATGTGTGTGTGAGTGTGGGTGTGTGGGTGTGTATGTGTGTGTGTATGTGTGGGTGTGTATGTATGTATGTGTGTGTGAGTGTGTGTGTGAGTGTGTGTGTGTGTGTCTGTGAGTGTGTGTGTCTGTGAGTGTGTGAGTGTGTGTATGTGTGTGTGTATGTGAGTGTCTGTGTGTGTGAGTGTGTGTGTATGTGTGTGTGTATGTGTGTGAGTGTGTGTGTGAGTGTGTGTGTATGTGTGAGTGTGTGTGTGTCTGTGTGTGTCTGTGTGTGTGTGTCTGTGTGTGTCTGTGTGTGTATGTGTGTGTATGTGTGTGTGTGAGTGTCTGTGTGTGTGTGTGTGTGAGTGTGTGTGAGTGTATGTGTGTGTGTATGTGTGTGTATGTGTGTGTGAGTGTGTGAGTGTGTGTATGTGTGTGCGTCTGTGTGTTTGTGTCTATGTGTGTGTGTATGTGTGTGTCCGGCAAAACAACCCCCTACCTCCTCGCGGTGCCGGACGGGCAACTCTGTCGTGGACAGTGCTGTGGGGGGAGTTCCAATTTTGATTGGCTCCTCCCCTCATGGCATATGTGTCCACCACAGGGGCTAAACGGGGGCTCTGGACGGGTGCGAGGGGCTGGTAACCCCTCCACCTTCAATTAATTACCACAAAACCACGAATTAAAGTGAAATATGTAACAACTAAGCTTGTGCCGGAGGCCCCGGGGGGCCAGGCGTCTATGACGTCTCCTGGCCAAACCCCAATTGGCGGAGCCAGGAGATTGAATACCTACCCTCGGGGCTACTCCAGAAACAACGAAAAGCCACTACGGGTGGCCACGTGGAATGTTCGAACGCTCACTGCAGAGGAGAGGCTGCCACTCCTCTGTCGGGAGCTGGACCGGTACCGCCTGGATCTATGCGGCATTCAGGAGGTCCGGTGGACCGGCTCTGGCTCCTGCCACCATGAGGGGTGGCCAGTCCTCTACTCGGGGCAGCAGACTGCCAAACAACAGGGTGTGGGTCTTCTTTTGAATAAAAGAATGAAGGGGGCGTGGGAGCGTGGCGGTGAGGTGTGGGAAGCTGTAAGCCCCAGGCTACTTTGGGCTCGCCTTCCCATCAACCGGAGGCGAGGAATGGTGGTCGTGGTTACTTATGCCCCCACCGAAGATGAACATCCGTGGAGGGATGCAGGCAAAGCCGATGAGTCAGATGCCTTCTATGACCTCCTGTCACAGGTGCTGGCTAAAGTGGCCCCTCGGGATAGAGTCATCATGTTGGGTGACTTCAATGCCCGAGTTGGTCATGATACTGGCACCTGGTCTGGAGTGATTGGAGGGCATGGGCCAGATCAGCTCAATAACAACGGTAGGAGGCTGCTAGATTTTTGTGCAGCCCATGGGCTTGTAATTACCCACACGCTGTTCCGGCATCGGCGCATCCACACAACATCATGGATGCATGCCGGGTCCAAGCAAGAACATCTGCTGGACTACATAGTGACGGACCAGCGAATGCGAGCCCATGTCCTTGACACCAGGACCTACCGTGGAGCTGATCTGCCCTCTGACCATCGACTAGTCATCTGTAAGATGCGCCTGCCATTCTTCCACTCCGGTGGTGGGTGTACACCCAGGACCCCATTCCAACCTAAAGTGGCCTGGTCTCAGTTATCTGATGAAAGTTGCAAGCGAGAATTTCATCATCGCTTGCGGCTGGGATTGGCATCGTCCCCGACTCCTCCTGATGTCGAGGGTAAATGGGCGAGGTTTAGGACTGTCACTCATGCAGCTGCAATGGCTGCTTTGGGTACGCGGTCCAGACCTCCCCAGACACCCTGGATGACAGAGGAGTTGTTCAGGATGGTTGAGAAAAAGCGACAGGCCCACTGTCATCGGCTACAGAATCCCACGTCAGAGAATGAGGAGGCTTACCGCAGCCTTCGCTCGGAGGTTCGGAGAGCCGTGAGGCGCTGCAAGGATGGGTGGTGGTCGCGGGTTGCTGAGGAGATGGAGTCTGCCTCAGTGGCCCGTGATCACAAATCGCTATTTAACTCCATCAAAAAAGTAACCTGCAGCGCCACACCTATTACCATCATTAGGGGAAAAAACGGTGATCCAATTTCCGACCCCCAGGAACAGGTTCGCAGATTTGCTGAGCATTTCTGTGAGGTCCTGGGTGAGGGAAAATCCCACAGCCAGGAAAACATCGTGGCACAAAGTGAGGATGACCCTGCTGAGGCTGCGGTGCCTCAAATATTGGATGAAGTCACCCCCTGTGAGTGGCTGGCTGAGGTGCCATCTGCTGAGGAAGTATTGAAGGCGATCCGGAGTCTGAGACCAGGAAAGGCAGCGGGCAGAGATGATCTCCCAAGCGAAATGCTGAGGGAGGGTGGCGTTTGTGCACAGACTGCCCTATATGACATCATAACAACAGTCTGGACCACTGGACGGGTTCCGCAGGATTGGAAGGATGCCCTGGTGGTCCCCCTTTTTAAGAAGGGGGACCGCACAGACTGTAACAACTACAGGGGCATCTCACTCCTCAGTGTGCCGGGAAAGGTCCTGGCAAGGATTATTCAGCATCGCCTTGCCAGGCACGCTGAGGAGAGGCTTGCGGAGCCCCAATGCGGTTTCAGGAAAGGGCGGTCCTGCACAGATGCCATATTTTCTGTCCGTCTGCTACAGCAGAGGTGTAGGGAATTCCAACAAGACCTACATCTCTGCTTTATTGACCTGGTCAAGGCCTATGATACCATCAGTAGGCCTGGGCTCTGGGTCGTTCTTCGTGCTTTTGGAGTACCTGACCCTCTGCTCACGATCATTAAGGACCTTCATGATGGTGAGCGGGCCCGGGTAAAACTACGTGGCCGGGAGTCAGAGCCATTCCCTGTACACCTTGGGGTGCGACAGGGATGTCCTCTGGCTCCCACATTATTTAACATCTATTTTGACCACGTAGTTCGTGAAGCCTTCAATAGCTGTACCGGGGGAATCTCCATATGGTACAGATATAATGGGAGGCTAATCGATGCCCGGGTGCGGTCAAGGGATGGCTCCCTATTGCTCAACCACGTTATGTATGCTGATGACTTGGTAATAGCTGCTCAGTCAGAGGAGGAGTTGGAGACGCTGCTGCTGAGACTGGAGCGTGCCACTAAGAGGTGGGGCCTTACCATCAGCCCCACCAAAACTAAGCACCTGCCTGGGTATTTTGTACCATCGGACACTCCACCCCCACAACTCCCAATCGGTGATGGGGCAGTTGTGGAGAGAGTGGAGAGTTTCCATACCTGGGCAGTGTGCTTATGACTGGCTCCAGTTTAACAGCAGAGGTCTCACTCCGAATCAGTCGAGCGGCAATATCTTTTCATCGGTTGCGTAACGCTGTGTGGAAGCTACCTGGTCTGTCGCTCCGCACTAAGCTTCAGGTCTTCTCGGCCACGGTCATTCCCTCCCTTCTCTACGCTTGCGAAACGTGGACCCCCCTAATGGAACATCTTCGCCGGTTAGAAACATTTAGGCTGACCTGCCTACGATCCATCCTGGGTTTAACCAGACTGGATTGTGTGAGGAGCTCACAAATCCTTGAAAGATCTGGGCAGGGTCCCATCGGTGAGCTCCTCCGGCAGGCAAGGCTGCGATGGCTGGGTCATGTAGCCCGCATGCCCAGCCACCGCATGCCGAAACAGCTTTTGTTTGGCCGGATTGAGGGGGCTAAGCGGGCGCGGCACGGGCTAGAGAAGAGATGGAGTGATGTGGTACAGGAGGACGTGGAGCTGAGTGGACTTGCCGATGACTGGTACCAGCGGTGTCAGATCGGCCTCTGTGAAGGAGGCTCGTGAAGGATGCTACTGGGCAGTTGGAGGCAGTCGCCCTCCAACAACAACGGAGGGCGGAGGAGCGACGCTCACAACAGCGAGCGGAGCGCCGGGTGGCTAAAGCACAGCAGGTTGGCACAGTAGGGGGCACAGGTGGTGCATCAGCCAGTCATCTCAGTCAGTCGACCCGTGGCACCTGGGTCTGCCCCGTGACCTCCTGCCAGCGGGCGTTCGACACTTCACGTGGCCTCAGGGTGCACATAGCCTGGCACAAGCGTCGTGGTGACGTCACCGCCACTTAGTGGCGAATGGCGGTTGTTGTTGTTGTTGTTGTTGTGTGAGTGTGTGTGTGTGTCTGTGTGTGTGAGTGTGTGGGTGTGTATGTGTGTGTGAGTGTGTGAGTGTCTGTGTATGTGTGTGTATGTGTGTGTGTGAGTGCCTGTGTGTGTGTGTGTGAGTGTGTGTGAGTGTATGTGTGTGTATGTGTGTGTGTGAGTGTGTGTATGTGTCTGTGTGTTTGTGTCTGTGAGTGTGTGTGTCTGTGAGTGTGTGAGTGTGTGTATGTGTGTGTGTATGTGAGTGTGTGGGTGTCTGTGTATGTGTGAGTGTGTGTGTGAGTGTCTGTCTGTGTGTGTGTGTGAGTGTGTGTGAGTGTATGTGTGTGTGTGAGTGTGTGTGTGAGTGTGTGTATGTGAGTGTGTGTGTGAGTGTGTGTATGTGTGTGTCTGTGTGTGTGTGTGAGTGTGTGTGAGTGTGTGTATGTGTGTGTATGTGTGTGAGTGTCTGTGTGTGTGTATGTATGTGTGAGTGTGTGTGTGTGTGTCTGTGTGTGTGAGTGTGTGTGAGTGTGTGTGTGAGTGTCTGAGTGTGTCTGTGTGTGAGTGTGTGTCTGTGTGTGTGTGTGAGTGTGTATGTATGTGAGTGTGTGTGAGTGTGTGTGAGTGTGTGTATGTGTGAGTGTGTGTGTCTGTGTGTGTGAGTGTGTGTATGTGTGAGTGTGTGTGTCTGTGTGTGTGAGTGTGTGTGTGTATGAGTGTGTGTGTATGTGTGTGTGTGTATGTGTGTGAGTGTCTGTGTGTATGTGTGTGTGTGTCTGTGTGTGTGTATATGTGTGTGTGTATGTGTGTGTGTGTGTCTGAGTGTCTGTGTGTGTGTGAGTGTGTGTATGTGTGTGAGTGTGTGTCTGTGTGTGTATTTGTGTGTATGTGTGAGTGTGTGTCTGTGTGTGTATTTGTGTGTATGTGTGTGTGTGTCTGTCTGTGTGTGTATGTATGTGTGTGTGTCTGTGTGTGTGTCTGTGTGTGTGTCTGTGTGTGTGAGTGTGTGTGTGAGTGTCTGTGTGTGTGTGTGAGTGTCTGTGTGTGTGAGTGTATGTCTGTGTGTGTGTATGTGTGTGTGTGTGAGTGTCTGTGTGTGTGTGTATGTCTGTGTGTGTGAGTGTGTGTGTGTCTGTGTGTGTGAGTGTCTGTGTGTATGTGTGAGTGTCTGTGTGTGTGTGAGTGTGTGTATGTATGAGTGTGTGAGTGTGTGTGTGAGTGTGTGTGTCTGTGTGTGTGAGTGTCTGTGTGTGTGAGTGTCTGTGTGTGTGAGTGTATGTCTGTGTGTATGTGTGTGTATGTGTGTGTGTATGTCTGTGTGTGTGAGTGTCTGTGTGTGTGTGTGTATGTCTGTGTGTGTGTGAGTGTCTGTGTGTGTGTGAGTGTGTGTGTGTCTGTGTGTGAGTGTGTCTGTGTGTGTGAGTGTCTGTGTGTATGTGTGAGTGTGTGTATGTGTGTGTGTGTGAGTGTCTGTGTGTGTGTGTGAGTGTGTGAGTGTGTGTGTGTATGTATGTGTGTGTGTGTCTGTCTGTGTGTGTGTGTATGTGTGTGTGGATGTGTGTGTGAGTGTGTGTGAGTGTCTGTGTGAGTGTCTGTGTGTGTGTCTGTGTCTGTGTGTATGTATGTCTGTGTGTGTGTGTCTGTGTGTGTGTCTGTGTGTGTGTCTGTGTGTGTGTGTATGTATGTGTGTGTGGGTGTGTGTGTGTGTCTGTGTGTGTGTGTATCTGTGTGTGTCTATGTGTGTGTGTATGTGTGTGTGTGAGTGTATGTGTGTCTATGTGTGTGTGTGTCTGTGTGTGTCTGTGTGTGTCTGTGTGTGTGTGTATGTGTGAGTGTGTGTGTCTGTGTGTGTCTGTATGTGTGAGTGTGTGTGTATGTATGTGTGTGAGTGTCTGTCTGTGTGAGTGTGTGTGTGTCTGTGTGTGTGAGTGTGTGTATGTGTGTGTATGTGTGTGTGTGAGTGTGTGTGTGTGTGTCTGTGAGTGTGTGTGTCTGTGAGTGTGTGAGTGTGTGTATGTGTGTGTGAGTGTGTGTGTATGTGTGTGTGAGTGTCTGTGTGTGTGAGTGTGTGTCTGTGTGTGTGAGTGTCTGTGTGTGTGAGTGTGTGTCTGTGTGTGTGAGTGTCTGTGTGTGTGTGTGTGTGTATGTCTGTGTGTGTGTGAGTGTCTGTGTGTGTGTGAGTGTGTGTGTGTCTGTGTGTGAGTGTGTCTGTGTGTGTGAGTGTCTGTGTGTATGTGTGAGTGTGTGTATGTGTGTGTGTGTGAGTGTCTGTGTGTGTGTGTGAGTGTGTGAGTGTGTGTGTGTATGTATGTGTGTGTGTGTCTGTCTGTGTGTGTGTGTATGTGTGTGTGGATGTGTGTGTGAGTGTGTGTGAGTGTCTGTGTGAGTGTCTGTGTGTGTGTCTGTGTCTGTGTGTATGTATGTCTGTGTGTGTGTGTCTGTGTGTGTGTCTGTGTGTGTGTCTGTGTGTGTGTGTATGTATGTGTGTGTGTGTGTGTGTCTGTGTGTGTGTGTATCTGTGTGTGTCTATGTGTGTGTGTATGTGTGTGTGTGAGTGTATGTGTGTCTATGTGTGTGTGTGTCTGTGTGTGTCTGTGTGTGTCTGTGTGTGTATGCTGATTATTTGGTAATAGCTGCTCAGTCAGAGGAGGAGTTGGAGACGCTGCTGCTGAGACTGGAGCGTGCCACTAAGAGGTGGGGCCTTACCATCAGCCCCACCAAAACTAAGCACCTGCCTGGGTATTTTGTACCATCGGACACTCCACCCCCACAACTCCCGATCGGTGATGGGGCAGTTGTGGAGAGAGTGGAGAGTTTCCTATACCTGGGCAGTGTGCTTATGACCGGCTCCAGTTTAAGAGCAGAGGTCTCACTCCGAATCAGTCGAGTGGCAATATCTCTTTATCGGTTGCGTAACGCTGTGTGGAAGCTACCTGGTCTGTCGCTCCGCACTAAGCTTCAGGTCTTCTCGGCCACGGTCTTTCCCTCCCTTCTCTACGCTTGCGAAACGTGGACCCCCCTAATGGAGCATCTTCGCCGGTTAGAAACATTTAGGCTGGCCTGCCTACGATCCATCCTGGGTTTAACCAGACTGGATTGTGTGAGGAGCTCACAAATCCTTGAAAGATCTGGGCAAGGTCCCATCGGTGAGCTCCTCCGGCAGGCAAGGCTGCGATGGCTGGGTCATGTAGCCCGCATGCCCAGCCACCGCATGCCGAAACAGCTTTTGTTTGGCCGGATTGAGGGGGCTAAGCGGGCGCGGCACGGGCTAGAGAAGAGATGGAGTGATGTGGTACAGGAGGACGTGGAGCTGAGTGGACTTGCCGATGACTGGTACCAGCGGTGTCAAGATCGGCCTCTGTGGAGGAGGCTCGTGAAGGACGCTACTGGGCAGTTGGAGGCAGTCGCCCTCCAACAACAACGGAGGGCGGAGGAGCGACGCTCACAACAACGAGCGGAGCGCCGGGTGGCTAAAGCACAGCAGGTTGGCACAGTAGGGGGCACAGGTGGTGCATCAGCCACTCATCTCAGTCAGTCGACCCGTGGCACCTGCTGGGTCTGCCCCGTGACCTCCTGCCAGCGGGCGTTCGACACTTCACGTGGCCTCAAGGTGCACATAGCCTGGCACAAGCGTCGTGGTGACATCACCGCCACTTGGTGGCGAATGGCGGTTGTTGTTGTGTATGTGTGTGTGTCTGTGTGTGTGTGTGGTGTGTGTCTGTGTGTGTGTGTCTTATCTGTGTGTGTGTGTGTCTTATCTGTGTGTGTGTGTCTATCTGTATGTGTGTGTCTATGTGTGTGTCTGTGTGTGTGTCTGTGTGTGTGTGTCTATCTGTATGTGTGTGTCTGTGTGTCTATGTGTGTGTGTGTGTAGGGGTGCTGCTACTCAACGCCGTTCTCACGGTGCGTGCCGGCCAGGCCAACTCTCACCGCGGCCGTGGCTGGGAGCTGCTCACCGGGGCGGTGATCTCTTGGCTCAACCGGAACCGCACCGGATTGGTCTTCTTGCTGTGGGGAGCTGACGCACAGCGATGTGGTGCCTCCATCAACCGGGTGAGGAGCGACACTCACCACTACACTCACCACTACACTCACCACTACACTCACCACTACACTCACCACTACACTCACCACTATACCACTACACTCACCACTACACTACTACACTCACCGCTACACTACTACACTACTACACTCACCACTACACTCACCACTACACTCACCACTACACTCACCACTATACCACTACACTCACCACTACACTCACCACTACACTCACCACTATACCACTACACTCACCACTACACTCACCACTACACTCACCACTACACTACTACACTCACCACTACACTCACCACTACACTCACCACTACACTCACTACTACACTCACCACTACACTCACCACTACACTCACCACTACACTACTACACTCACCACCACACTCACTACTACACTCACCACTACACTACTACACTCACCACTACACTCACCACTACACTCATCACTATACCACTACACTCACCACTACACTCACCACTACACTCATCACTATACCACTACACTCACCACTACACTCACCACTACACTCACCACTACACCACTACACTCACCACTACACTCACCACTACACTCACCACTACACTCACCACTACACTACTACACTCACCACTACACTCACCACTACACTACTACACTCACCACTATACTACTACACTCACCACTACACTCACCACTACACTCACCACTACACTCACCACTACACCACTACACTCACCACTACACTCACCACTACACTCACCACTACACTACTACACTCACCACTACACTCACCACTACACTCACCACTACACTCACCACTACACTACTACACTCACCACTACACTACCACTCACCACTACACTCACCACTACACTCACCACTACACTACCACACTCACCACTACACTCACCACTACACTCACCACTACACTCACCACTACACTCACCACTACACTACCACACTCACCACTATACCACTACACTCACCACTACACTACTACACTCACCACTACACTACTACACTCACCACTACACTACTACACTCACCACTACACTCACCACTACACTCACCACTACACTACTACACTCACCACTACACTCACCACTACACTCACCACTACACTACTACACTCACCGCTACACTCACTGCTACACTCACCACTGCACTCACTACTACACTCACCACTACACTCACCACTGCACTCACCACTACACTACTACACTCACCGCTACACTCACCACTACACTCACCACTATACTACTACACTCACCGCTACACTCAGTGCTACACTCACTACTATACTACTACACTCACCACTACACTCACCACTACACTCACCATTACACTACTACACTCACCGCTACACTCACCACTACACTCACCACTACACTACTACACTCACCACTACACTCACCACTACACTACTACACTCACCACTACACTACTACACTCACCACTACACTACTACACTCACCACTACACTCACCACTACACTACTACACTCACTACTACACTACTACACTCACCACTACACTCACCACTACACTACTACACTCACCACTACACTCACCACTACACTCACCACTATACTACTACACTCACCGCTACACTCACTGCTACACTCACCACTACACTCACCACTACACTCACCACTATACTACTACACTCACCACTACACTCACCACTACACTACTACACTCACCGCTACACTCACCACTACACTCACCACTACACTACTACACTCACCACTACACTCACCACTACACTACTACACTCACCACTACACTCACCACTACACTACTACACTCACCACTACACTCACCACTACACTACTACACTCACCGCTACACTCACCACTACACTCACCACTACACTCACCACTACACTACTACACTCACCACTACACTCACCACTACACTCACTACTATACTACTACACTCACCACTACACTCACCACTACACCACTACACTCACCACTATACTCACCACTACATTCACCACTACACTCACCACTACACTCACCACTATACTACTACACTCACCGCTACACTCACCACTACACTCACCACTACACTCACCACTACACTACTACACTCACCACTACACTCACCACTACACTCACTACTATACTACTACACTCACCACTACACTCACCACTACACTCACCACTACACCACTACATTCACCACTACACTCACCACTACACTCACCACTATACTACTACACTCACCACTACACTCACCACTACACTCACCACTACACTCACCACTACTACACTACTACACTCACCGCTACACTACTACACTCACCACTACACTCACCACTACACTACTACACTCACCGCTACACTCACCACTACACTCACCACTACACTCACCACTATACTACTACACTCACCACTAAACTCACCGCTACACTCACCACTACACTCACCACTACACTCACCACTATACCACTACACTCACCACTACACTCACTACTACACTCACCACTACACTCACTAGTACACTCACCACTACACTCACCACTACACTCACCACAACACTCACTAGTACACTCACCACTACACTCACCACTACACTCACTACTACACACACCACTACACTCACCACTACACTACTACACTCACCACTACACTCACCACTACACTCACCACTACACTACTACACTCACCGCTACACTCACCACTACACTCACCACTACACTCACCACTACACTACTACACTCACCACTACACTCACCACTACACTCACCACTACACTCACTACTATATTACTACACTCACCACTACACTCACCACTACACCACTACACTCACCACTACACCACTACATTCACCACTACACTCACCACTACACTCACCACTATACTACTACACTCACCACTACACTCACCACTACACTCACTACTATACTACTACACTCACCACTACACTCACCACTACTACACTACTACACTCACCGCTACACTACTACACTCACCACTACACTCACCACTACACTCACCACTACACTACTACACTCACCGCTACACTCACCACTACACTCACCACTACACTCACCACTATACTACTACACTCACCACTACACTCACCACTACACTCACCACTACACTCACCACTACACTCACTAGTACACTCACCACTACACTCACCACTACACTCACCACAACACTCACTAGTACACTCACCACTACACTCACCACTACACTCACCACTACACTCACCACTACACTCACCACTACACTCACCACTACACTACTACACTCACCGCTACACTCACCACTACACTCACTACTATACTACTACACTCACCGCTACACTCACCACTACACTCACTACTACACTCACCACTACACTCACCACTACACTACTACACTCACCACTACACTCACCACTACACTACTACACTCACCGCTACACTCACCACTACACTCACCACTACACTACTACACTCACCACTACACTCACCACTACACTCACCACTACACTCACCACTACACCACTACATTCACCACTACACTCACCACTACACTCACCACTATACTACTACACTCACCACTACACTCACCACTACACTCACTACTATACTACTACACTCACCACTACACTCACCACTACTACACTACCACTCACCGCTACACTACTACACTCACCACTACACTCACCACTACACTCACCACTACACTACTACACTCACCGCTATACTCACCACTACACTCACCACTACACTCACCACTATACTACTACACTCACCACTACACTCACCACTACACTCACCACTATACTACTATACTCACCACTACACTCACCACTACACTCACCACTATACTACTACACTCACCACTACACTCACCACTACACTCACCACTACACTACTACACTCACCGCTACACTCACCACTACACTCACTACTATACTACTACACTCACCGCTACACTCACCACTACACTCACTACTACACTCACCACTACACTCACCACTACACTACTACACTCACCACTACACTCACCACTACACTCACCACTACACTACTACACTCACCGCTACACTCACCACTACACTCACCACTACACTCACCACTACACTACTACACTCACCACTACACTCACCACTACACTCACCACTACACTCACCACTACACCACTACACTCACCACTACACCACTACATTCACCACTACACTCACCACTACACTCACCACTATACTACTACACTCACCACTACACTCACCACTACACTCACTACTATACTACTACACTCACCACTACACTCACCACTACTACACTACCACTCACCGCTACACTACTACACTCACCACTACACTCACCACTACACTCACCACTACACTACTACACTCACCGCTATACTCACCACTACACTCACCACTACACTCACCACTATACTACTACACTCACCACTACACTCACCACTACACTCACCACTACACTCACCACTACACTCACCACTACACTCACTAGTACACTCACCACTACACTCACCACTACACTCACCACAACACTCACTAGTACACTCACCACTACACTCACCACTACACTCACCACTACACTCACCACTACACTACTACACTCACCGCTACACTCACCACTACACTCACTACTATACTACTACACTCACCGCTACACTCACCACTACACTCACCACTACACTCACCACTACACTCACCACTAAAGTTACTGCAGTGTCTCTGTATCTCTGTCTGTGTCTCTATGTGTCTCTTTGTCTCTCTCTGTGTGCCTGTCTCTGTGTGTCTCTGTGTGTCTCTGTGTGTCTGTCTCTGTGTGTCTGTCTCTGTGTGTCTCTGTGTGTCTCTATCTCTGTCTGTCTCTGTGTGCCTGTCTCTGTGTGTCTCTGTGTGTCTGTCTCTGTGTGTCTCTGTGTGTCTGTCTCTGTGTGTCTCTGTGTGTCTGTCTCTGTGTGTCTGTCTCTGTGTGCCTGTCTCTGTGTGTCTCTGTGTGTCTGTCTCTGTGTGTCTGTCTCTGTGTGTCTCTCTGTGTCTCTGTGTATTTCTGTGTGTCTCTGTGTGTCTGTCTCTGTGTGCCTGTCTCTGTGTATTTCTGTGTGTCTCTCTGTGTCTGTCTGTGTCTCTCTGTGTCTGTCTCTGTGTGTCTGTCTCTGTGTCTCTGTCTCTGTGTCTCATGTCCATGTGTCTTTGTGTGTCTGTGTATTTCTGTGTGTCTCTCTGTGTCTGTCTCTGTGTGTCTGCGTGTCTCTGTGTGTGTCTCTGTGTCTCATGTCCATGTGTCTCTGTGTGTCTGTGTATTTCTGTGTGTCTCTCTGTGTCTGTCTCTGTGTGTCTGTGTGTCTCTGTGTGTGTCTGTGTGTCTCTGTGTGTCTCTGTCTCTGTGTGTGTCTCTGTGTCTCATGTCCATGTGTCTCTGTGCGTGTCTGTGTGTCTCTGTGTGTCTGTGTGTGTCTGTGTATTTCTGTGTGTCTCTGTGTGTCTGTGTGTCTCTGTGTCTGTGTGTCTCTGTGTGTCTGTGTGTCTCTGTGTCTCTGTGTGTGTCTGTCTCTGTGTGTGTCTCTGTGTGTGTCTCTGTGTCTCATGTCCATGTGTCTCTGTGTGTCTCTGTGTGTCTGTGTATTTCTGTGTGTCTGTCTGTCTCTGTGTGTCTCTGTGTGTCTCTCTGTATCTGTCTCTGTGTGCCTGTATCTGTGTCTCTGTCTCTGTGTCTCATGTCCATGTGTCTCTGTGTGTCTCTGTGTTTCTGTGTATTTCTGTGTGTCTCTCTGTGTCTGTCTCTGTGTGTCTGTGTGTCTCTGTGTGTGTGTGTCTCTGTGTGTGTCTCTGTGTCTCATGTCCATGTGTCTCTGTGTGTCTGTGTATTTCTGTGTGTCTCTCTGTGTCTGTCTCTGTGTGTCTGTGTGGCTCTGTGTGTGTCTGTCTCTGTGTGTGTCTCTGTGTCTCATGTCCATGTGTTTCTGTGTGTCTCTGTGTGTCTATGTGTGTCTGTGTATTTCTGTGTGTCTCTCTGTGTCTGTCTCTGTGTGTCTGTGTCTCTTTGTGTCTGTCTCTGTGTCTCATGTCCATGTGTCTCTGTGTGTCTGTGTGTGTCATGTCTGTGTGTATCTGTGTGTCATGTCTGTGTGTCTCTGTGTGTCATGTCTGTGTGTCTCTGTGTGTCATGTCTGTGTGTCTCTGTGTGTGTCTGTCTCTGTGTGTGTCTCTGTGTATCATGTCCGTGTGTCTCTGTGTGTGTCTGTGTATTTCTGTGTGTCTCTCTGTGTCTGTCTCTGTGTGTCTGTGTGTCTCTGTGTGTGTCTGTCTCTGTGTGTGTCTCTGTGTCTCATGTCCATGTGTCTCTGTGTGTCTCTGTGTGTCTGTGTGTCTGTGTATTTATGTGTCTCTCTGTGTCTGTCTCTGTGTGTCTGTGTGTCTCTGTGTGTCATGTCTGTGTGTCTCTGTGTGTGTGTCTCTGTGTGTCTGTCTCTGTGTGTGACTGTGTGTGTCTCTGTGTGTCTCTATGTGTGTCTGTGTGTGTCTCTGTGTGTCTCTGTGTGTGTCTCTATGTGTGTCTCTATGTGTGTCTCTATGTGTGTCTGTGTGTGTGTCTCTGTGTATCGCTGTGTATCTCTGTGTGTCTCTGTGTGTCTGTCTCTGTGTGTCTGTGTCTCTGTCTGTCTCTGTGTGTCTGTCTCTGTGTCTCATGTCTGTGTGTCTCATGTCTGTGTGTCTGTGTCTCATATCTGTGTGTCTGTCTCTGTGTCTGTTTCTGTGTCTCATGTCTGTGTATCTGTGTGTGTGTCTGTGTGTCTGTCTCTGTGTGTCTGTGTGTGTGTCTGTCTCTGTGTGTGTGTCTCTGTGTGTCTGTGTCTGTCTCTGTGTCTCATGTCTGCGTGTCTCTGTGTGTCTCTGTGTGTCTGCAGAGTCTCCACCACGTGCTCACAGCGCCACACCCATCCCCTCTGTCTGCCCACCGTGGATTCCTGGGCTGTGGTCACTTCTCACGGACAAACAGCATCCTGCAGGCTCAGCGTCTGCCTCCCATCGACTGGCTCATTCACTCATAGAGACCCTCACTCACTCATAGAGACCCTCACTCACTCATAGAGACACTCACTCATAGAGACCCTCACTCACTCATAGAGACCCTCACTCATAGAGACCCTCACTCACTCATAGAGACCCTCACTCACTCATAGAGACCCTCACTCACTCATAGAGACCCTCACTCATAGAGACACTCACTCATAGAGACACTCACTCATAGAGACACTCACTCACTCATAGAGACCCTCAGTCACTCATGGAGACCCTCACTCACTCATAGAGACCCTCACTCACTCATGGAGACCCTCACTCACTCATGGAGACCCTCACTCACTCATAGAGACACTCACTCATAGAGACACTCACTCATAGAGACACTCACTCACTCATAGAGACCCTCAGTCACTCATGGAGACCCTCACTCACTCATAGAGACACTCACTCATAGAGACACTCACTCACTCATAGAGACCCTCACTCACTCATAGAGACCCTCACTCACTCATAGAGACCCTCACTCACTCATAGAGACCCTCACTCACTCATGGAGACCCTCACTCACTCATAGAGACCCTCACTCACTCATAGAGACCCTCACTCACTCATAGAGACCCTCACTCATAGAGACCCTCACTCACTCATAGAGACCCTCACTCACTCATAGAGACCCTCACTCACTCATAGAGACACTCACTCACTCATAGAGACCCTCACTCATAGAGACACTCACTCACTCATAGAGACCCTCACTCACTCATAGAGACCCTCACTCACTCATAGAGACACTCACTCACTCATAGAGACCCTCACTCATAGAGACGCTCACTCACTCATAGAGACCCTCACTCACTCATAGAGACCCTCACTCACTCATAGAGACCCTCACTCATAGAGACCCTCACTCACTCATAGAGACCCTCACTCACTCATAGAGACCCTCACTCACTCATAGAGACCCTCACTCACTCATAGAGACACTCACTCACTCATAGAGACACTCACTCACTCATAGAGACACTCACTCACTCATAGAGACCCTCACTCACTCATAGAGACCCTCACTCATAGAGACACTCACTCATAGAGACCCTCATTCACTCATGGAGACCCTCACTCATAGAGACCCTCACTCACTCATAGAGACCCTCACTCACTCATGGAGACCCTCACTCACTCATAGAGACCCTCACTCACTCATAGAGACCCTCACTCACTCATAGAGACCCTCACTCACTCATAGAGACCCTCACTCACTCATAGAGACCCTCACTCACTCATAGAGACCCTCACTCACTCATAGAGACCCTCACTCATAGAGACCCTCATTCACTCATAGAGACCCTCACTCACTCATAGAGACCCTCACTCATAGAGACCCTCACTCACTCATAGAGACCCTCACTCACTCATAGAGACCCTCACTCACTCATAGAGACCCTCACTCACTCATAGAGACCCTCACTCACTCATGGAGACCCTCACTCACTCATAGAGACCCTCACTCAATCATAGAGACCCTCACTCACTCATAGAGACACTCACTCACTCATAGAGACCCTCACTCATAGAGACCCTCACTCACTCATAGAGACCCTCACTCACTCATAGAGACACTCACTCATAGAGACCCTCACTCACTCATAGAGACCCTCACTCACTCATAGAGACACTCACTCATAGAGACCCTCACTCACTCATAGAGACACTCACTCACTCATAGAGACACTCACTCATAGAGACCCTCACTCATAGAGGACCTCACTCAACATAGAGACCCTCACTCATAGAGACCCTCACTCACAGAGACCCTCACTCACTCATAGAGACACTCACTCACTCATAGAGACCCTCACTCAAACATAGAGACACTCACTCACTCATAGAGACCCTCACTCATAGAAACCCTCACTCATAGAGACACTCACTCATGGAGACCCTCACTCACTCATAGAGACCCTCACTCACTCATAGAGACCCTCAATCACTCATAGAGACACTCACTCACTCATATAGAGACCCTCACTCATAGAGACCCTCACTCAGAGACCCTCACTCACTCATAGAGAACCTCACTCACTCATAGAGACCCTCACTCACTCATAGAGACCCTCACTCACTCATAGAGACCCTCACTCACTCATAGAGACCCTCACTCACTCATAGAGACCCTCACTCACTCATAGAGACCCTCACTCACTCATAGAGACCCTCACTCACTCATAGAGACCCTCACTCACTCATAGAGACACTCACTCACTCATAGAGACACTCACTCACTCATAGAGACACTCACTCATAGAGACACTCACTCACTCATAGAGACCCTCAGTCACTCATGGAGACCCTCACTCACTCATAGAGACCCTCACTCACTCATGGAGACCCTCACTCACTCATGGAGACCCTCACTCACTCATAGAGACACTCACTCATAGAGACACTCACTCATAGAGACACTCACTCACTCATAGAGACCCTCAGTCACTCATGGAGACCCTCACTCACTCATAGAGACACTCACTCATAGAGACACTCACTCACTCATAGAGACCCTCACTCACTCATAGAGACCCTCACTCACTCATAGAGACCCTCACTCACTCATAGAGACCCTCACTCACTCATGGAGACCCTCACTCACTCATAGAGACCCTCACTCACTCATAGAGACCCTCACTCACTCATAGAGACCCTCACTCATAGAGACCCTCACTCACTCATAGAGACCCTCACTCACTCATAGAGACCCTCACTCACTCATAGAGACACTCACTCACTCATAGAGACCCTCACTCATAGAGACACTCACTCACTCATAGAGACCCTCACTCACTCATAGAGACCCTCACTCACTCATAGAGACACTCACTCACTCATAGAGACCCTCACTCACTCATAGAGACCCTCACTCACTCATAGAGACACTCACTCACTCATAGAGACCCTCACTCATAGAGACGCTCACTCACTCATAGAGACCCTCACTCACTCATAGAGACCCTCACTCACTCATAGAGACCCTCACTCATAGAGACCCTCACTCACTCATAGAGACCCTCACTCACTCATAGAGACCCTCACTCACTCATAGAGACCCTCACTCACTCATAGAGACACTCACTCACTCATAGAGACACTCACTCACTCATAGAGACACTCACTCACTCATAGAGACACTCACTCACTCATAGAGACCCTCACTCATAGAGACACTCACTCATAGAGACCCTCATTCACTCATGGAGACCCTCACTCATAGAGACCCTCACTCACTCATAGAGACCCTCACTCACTCATGGAGACCCTCACTCACTCATAGAGACCCTCACTCACTCATAGAGACCCTCACTCACTCATAGAGACCCTCACTCACTCATAGAGACCCTCACTCACTCATAGAGACCCTCACTCACTCATAGAGACCCTCACTCACTCATAGAGACCCTCACTCATAGAGACCCTCATTCACTCATAGAGACCCTCACTCACTCATAGAGACCCTCACTCACTCATAGAGACACTCACTCATAGAGACCCTCACTCACTCATAGAGACCCTCACTCACTATTAGAGACCCTCACTCACTCATAGAGACCCTCACTCACACTCATAGAGACCCTCACTCACTCATGGAGACCCTCACTCACTCATAGAGACCCTCACTCAATCAGAGAGACCCTCACTCCTCATAGAACACTCATAGAGACACTCCACTCACTCATAGAGACCCTCACTCATAGAGACCCTCACTCACTCATAGAGACCCTCACTCACTCATAGAGACCACTCACTCATAGAGACCCTCACTCACTCATAGAGGACCCTCACTCACTCATAGAGACACTCACTCATAGAGACCCTCACTCACTCAGTAGAGACACTCACTCACTCATAGAGACACATCACTCATAGAGACCCTCACTCATAGAGGACCTCACTCAACATAGAGACCCTCACTCATAGAGACCCTCACTCACAGAGACCCTCACTCACTCATAGAGACACTCACTCACTCATAGAGACCCTCACTCAAACATAGAGACACTCACTCACTCATAGAGACCCTCACTCATAGAAACCCTCACTCATAGAGACACTCACTCATGGAGACCCTCACTCACTCATAGAGACCCTCAATCACTCATAGAGACACTCACTCACTCATATAGAGACCCTCACTCATAGAGACCCTCACTCAGAGACCCTCACTCACTCATAGAGAACCTCACTCACTCATAGAGACCCTCACTCACTCATAGAGACCCTCACTCACTCATAGAGACCCTCACTCACTCATAGAGACCCTCACTCACTCATAGAGACACTCACTCACTCATAGAGACACTCACTCACTCATGGAGACCCTCACTCATAGAGACACTCACTCACTCATAGAGACCCTCACTCACTCATAGAGACCCTCACTCACTCATAGAGACCCTCACTCACTCATAGAGACCCTCACTCACTCATAGAGACACTCACTCACTCATAGAGACACTCACTCACTCATGGAGACCCTCACTCATAGAGACACTCACTCACTCATAGAGACCCTCACTCACTCATAGAGACACTCAACTCACTCATAGAGACCCTCACTCATAGAGACACTCACTCACTCTATAGAGACCCTCACTCACTCATAGAGACCCTCACTCACTCATAGAGACCCTCACTCATAGAGACACTCACTCACTCATAGAGACCCTCACTCACTCATAGAGACACTCACTCACTCAGAGAGACACTCACTCACTCAGAGAGACACTCACTCATAGAGACACTCACTCACTCAAGAGACCCTCACTCACTCATAGAGACCCTCACTCACTCATAGAGACCCTCACTCACTCATAGAGACACTCACTCACTCACTCATAGAGACACTCACTCATAGAGACCCTCACTCATAGAGGACCTCACTCAACATAGAGACCCTCACTCATAGAGACCCTCACTCATAGAGACCCTCACTCACAGAGACCCTCACTCACTCATAGAGACACTCACTCACTCA